TCACAGGGCGTTTTGAATAAGAACAGTCTTTTTATTATTTTCTTTTTTTTATTCTAATTCAAATATTATTGTCTATATTTTATTCTCTAATAGAGAATAAAATATATAGAAAATCCATTATATATATTGAATTTTTGATAGTTTATTGTCCCCATCAATCAAATAAAAGGGTCCGTTGAGCGCCTCACTGCTATGTCATAATGGATCCGAACACTTGCCCCGGATTCACTTCCGGATCCTAATTGTTCTAGTGAATAACTCAAGAAAATATGGAATAGATGGGAGATAGAAGAGAAAGATATTCAATATAAACATTTCTCATAAGTTCACGAATTATGTTTTATGTTGGCGGGTCTCTTTGTATGTGTTGTCCGGAAAGAGGAGGACTCAATGATTATTCGTTCGCCGGAACCAAAAGTCAAAATTTTGGTAGATAGGGATCCCATAAAAACTTCTTTCGAGCAATGGGCAAAACCTGGTCATTTCTCAAGAACAATAGCTAAGGGACCTGATACTACTACTTGGATCTGGAACCTACATGCTGATGCTCATGATTTCGATAGCCATACTAGTGATTTAGAGGAGATTTCCCGAAAAGTATTTAGTGCTCATTTCAGTCAACTCTCCATTATCTTTCTTTGGCTGAGTGGCATGTATTTCCATGGTGCTCGTTTTTCAAATTATGAAGCATGGCTAAATGATCCTACTCACATTCGACCTAGTGCTCAGGTGGTTTGGCCAATAGTAGGCCAAGAAATATTAAATGGTGATGTAGGGGGAGGTTTTCGGGGAATACAAATAACCTCCGGTTTTTTTCAGATTTGGCGAGCATCTGGAATAACTAGTGAATTACAACTCTATTGTACTGCAATCGGTGTGTTGGTCTTTGCAGCCTTAATGCTTTTTGCTGGTTGGTTTCATTATCACAAAGCTGCTCCAAAATTGGCTTGGTTTCAAGATGTAGAATCCATGTTGAATCACCATTTGGCAGGTCTACTAGGACTTAGGTCTCTTTCTTGGGCGGGGCATCAAGTACATGTATCTTTACCAATTAACCAATTTCTAAATGCTGGAGTAGATCCCAAAGAGATCCCACTTCCTCATGAATTTATCTTGAATCGGGATCTTTTGGCTCAACTTTATCCAAGTTTTGCTGAGGGAGCAACCCCATTTTTTACCTTGAATTGGTCAAAATATGCGTACTTTCTTACTTTTCGTGGAGGATTAGACCCACTAACTGGTGGTCTATGGCTTACTGATATTGCACATCATCATTTAGCTATTGCAATTCTTTTTCTCATTGCGGGTCATATGTATAGAACTAACTGGGGTATTGGTCATGGTATAAAAGATATTTTAGAAGCCCATAAAGGTCCATTTACAGGCCAGGGTCATAAAGGGCTATATGAGATCCTAACAACGTCATGGCATGCTCAATTATCTATTAACCTAGCTATGTTAGGCTCTTTGACCATTATTGTAGCTCACCATATGTATGCTATGCCTCCTTATCCATACCTAGCTACTGATTATGGTACACAACTGTCATTGTTCACACATCACATGTGGATTGGGGGCTTTCTCATAGTTGGTGCTGCTGCACATGCAGCCATTTTTATGGTAAGAGACTATGATCCAACTACTCGATACAACGATCTATTAGATCGTGTTCTTAGACATCGTGATGCAATCATATCACATCTCAACTGGGTGTGTATATTTTTAGGTTTTCACAGTTTTGGGTTGTATATTCATAATGATACCATGAGTGCTTTAGGGCGCCCTCAAGATATGTTTTCAGATACCGTTATACAATTACAACCTGTCTTTGCTCAATGGATACAAAATACCCATGCTTTAGCACCTGGCACAATAGCCCCTGGTGCAACAACAAGCACCAGTTTGACTTGGGGCGGTGGTGATTTAGTGGCAGTGGGCGGCAAAGTAGCTTTGTTACCTATTCCATTAGGAACCGCAGATTTTTTGGTACATCATATTCATGCATTTACAATTCATGTGACGGTATTGATACTCCTAAAAGGTGTTCTATTTGCTCGTAGCTCACGCTTGATACCGGATAAAGCAAATCTTGGTTTTCGGTTCCCTTGTGATGGCCCGGGAAGAGGGGGGACATGCCAAGTATCCGCTTGGGATCATGTCTTCCTAGGATTATTTTGGATGTACAATGCAATTTCTGTAGTAATATTCCATTTCAGTTGGAAAATGCAATCAGATGTTTGGGGAAGTATAAATGATCAAGGAGTAATAACTCATATCACAGGAGGAAACTTTGCGCAGAGTTCGATTACCATTAATGGGTGGCTTCGCGATTTCTTATGGGTGCAGGCATCCCAGGTAATTCAGTCTTATGGTTCCTCATTATCTGCATATGGTCTTTTTTTCTTAGGCGCCCATTTTGTATGGGCTTTTAGTTTAATGTTTCTATTCAGCGGACGTGGTTATTGGCAAGAACTTATTGAATCCATTGTTTGGGCTCATAATAAATTAAAAGTTGCTCCTGCTACTCAGCCTAGAGCCTTAAGCATTGTACAGGGACGTGCTGTAGGAGTAACACATTACCTTCTGGGTGGAATTGACACAACGTGGGCATTCTTCTTAGCAAGAATTATTGCAGTAGGATAATGGCTAGGAGGATTTGAAAAGCATCATGGCATTAAGATTTCCAAGGTTTAGCCAAGGCTTAGTTCAGGACCCCACTACTCGTCGTATTTGGTTTGGTATTGCTACCGCACATGACTTCGAGAGTCATGATGATATTACTGAGGAACGTCTTTATCAGAATATTTTTGCTTCTCATTTCGGACAATTAGCAATCATTTTTCTGTGGACTTCCGGGAATCTCTTCCATGTAGCTTGGCAAGGAAATTTTGAGGCATGGGTACAGGATCCTTTACATGTAAGACCTATTGCTCATGCAATTTGGGATCCCCATTTTGGTCAACCGGCTGTAGAAGCTTTTACGCGAGGGGGTGCGCTTGGCCCAATGAATATTGCCTATTCCGGTGTTTATCAGTGGTGGTATACAATTGGTTTACGTACTAATGAGGATCTTTATACTGGAGCTATTTTTCTATTATTTCTTTCTTTCATATCCTTATTAGCGGGCTGGTTACACCTACAACCGAAATGGAAACCGAGCGTTTCGTGGTTTAAAAATGCTGAATCCCGCCTCAATCATCATTTGTCAGGACTATTTGGAGTCAGTTCCTTAGCTTGGGCAGGGCATTTAGTCCATGTGGCTATTCCAGGATCCAGAGGAGAATATGTTCGATGGAATAATTTCTTAAGTGTATTGCCTCATCCTCAAGGATTAAGGCCATTTTTTACAGGTCAGTGGAATCTTTATGCTCAAAACCCCGATTCTAGTAATCATTTATTTAGTACTTCGCAAGGCGCGGGAACTGCCATTCTAACACTTCTCGGGGGATTCCATCCTCAAACGCAAAGTTTATGGCTTACCGATATGGCCCATCATCATTTAGCTATTGCAATTCTTTTTCTAATTGCTGGTCATATGTATAGAACTAACTTCGGTATTGGGCACAGTATAAAAGATATTTTAGAAGCGCATATTCCTCCGGGGGGTAGATTGGGGCGTGGACATAAGGGTCTTTATGACACAATTAATAATTCAATTCATTTTCAATTAGGCCTTGCTCTAGCCTCGTTAGGGGTCATTACTTCTTTGGTAGCTCAACACATGTATTCGTTACCTGCTTATGCGTTTATAGCACAAGACTTTACTACTCAAGCTGCGTTATATACTCATCATCAATACATTGCAGGATTTATTATGACAGGGGCTTTTGCTCATGGAGCTATCTTTTTTATTAGAGATTACAATCCCGAACAGAATGAGGATAATGTATTGGCAAGAATGTTAGAGCACAAAGAAGCTATCATATCCCACTTAAGTTGGGCCAGCCTATTTCTGGGGTTCCATACTTTGGGACTTTATGTCCATAATGATGTCATGCTTGCTTTTGGCACTCCGGAGAAACAAATCTTGATCGAACCCATATTTGCCCAATGGATACAATCTGCTCATGGTAAAACTTCATATGGTTTCGATGTACTTTTATCTTCAACGAATAGTCCGGCGCTCAATGCGGGGCGAAGCATATGGTTGCCGGGTTGGTTAAATGTTATTAATGAGAATCGTAATTCTCTATTCTTAACAACCGGGCCTGGAGACTTCTTGGTTCATCATGCTATTGCTCTTGGTTTACATACAACTACATTGATCTTAGTAAAAGGTGCTTTAGATGCACGTGGTTCCAAGTTAATGCCGGATAAAAAGGATTTTGGTTATAGTTTTCCTTGCGACGGTCCGGGACGAGGTGGTACTTGTGATATTTCTGCTTGGGACACATTTTATTTGGCAGTTTTCTGGATGTTAAATACCATTGGATGGGTTACTTTTTATTGGCATTGGAAGCACATTACATTATGGCAAGGTAATGTTTCACAATTTAATGAATCTTCAACCTATTTGATGGGATGGTTAAGAGATTATCTATGGTTAAATTCTTCACAACTTATCAATGGATATAACCCCTTTGGTATGAATAGTTTATCAGTCTGGGCATGGATGTTCTTATTTGGACATCTTGTTTGGGCTACTGGATTTATGTTCTTAATCTCATGGCGCGGATATTGGCAGGAATTGATTGAAACTTTAGCATGGGCTCATGAACGCACACCTTTGGCGAATTTGATTCGATGGAGAGATAAACATGTGGCTCTTTCGATTGTCCAAGCAAGATTGGTTGGATTAGTCCACTTTTCGGTAGGTTATATATTTACTTATGCAGCTTTCTTGATTGCCTCTACATCAGGTAAATTTGGTTAATTTCATTCTTTATTGTATCTCCAAAAATGGAATCTCTTTGTATGAAGAAGGTGCTTCTTCTATTTCTACATCTAGGATCCGACTTATTTCTATCATTGATACTAATAGGAAATGAATCATCATCATAATGGCAAAGAAAAGTAGCATTGCCAGGGAGAAGAAGAGGCAAAAATTGGAAAAAAAATATCATTTGATTCGACGATCTCCAAAAAAAGAAATGAGCAAAGCTCAGTCGTTAAGTGAGAAATGGGAAATTAAGGCAAAGTTCGAAGCACTACCGCGTAATAGTGCACCTACACGTCTTCATCGACGTTGTTTTGCGACTGGAAGATCACGAGGTAATTATCGACACTTTGGATTATCTAGACACGCACTTCGTGAAATGGTTCATCAATGTTTGTTGCCTGGTGCAACAAGATCGAGTTGGTAAGAATAAAAAATTCTCTTCATTTTTTTATTCTTTTTGATGATCTGCGATCATAGGACGGTCCCTTGACCATTCCGTATAAATGGTTTATTCTATTTGTACAGATATGGTGGAGGGGCGGCAGGCAAATTCAATCTCTGTTTTCCATTAATTGTCAATTGTTCTTCTTATGGCATGGAGGAGTGGAGCAACTTGGTAGCTCGCAAGGCTCATAACCTTGAGGTTACGGGTTCAAATCCTGTCTCCGTACCATTTTGGATAAAAATGGAAGTTCACTTATATATATTTGATAATATAAAGAAATATACTATTCAATACAGAAGTAACGGCGGATAGCGGGAATTGAACCCGCGTCTTCTCCTTGGCAAAGAGAAATTATACCATTCAACTATATCCGCATTTTTTTATTCTAATTGATACTTTCTATATCAATTCGATTTGTGCAGAGCTGTGTTTGATATCTATTAGGATAGGAGTGATCAATAAAAAAGTCGAAATCTATATATATATATATATATATATATATATATATATATATATATATATATATATATATATATATATATATATATATATATATATATATATATATATATATATATATATATATATATATATATATATATATATATCTTATCTTTAATCAATTTCTCTATGTATGTATCCTTTATCTAATACATACATAGAGAAATTGATTTATCCAAAAGATTTGACTTCAATTGAAATTGGGTTAGTGATGAAGTCGGAGGGTTTCCTCGAAGCATCCATGGCTGAGTGGTTAAAGCACCCAACTCATAATTGGCGAAGTCGTGGGTTCAATTCCTACTGGATGCATCCCCATAGAAATATCCCCCACTCGATTTTTGTTACAGAATGAAATTTGTAAATACAGCTACATGATTATCTGAATTATATTGACTATATTCATTCTTTATCTTCTTTTAAAAAAAAAACGATTGGATCCGTATCAATATCAATGGAATCTCATCATCCATCAATAACAAAGGTGTGGTCGATTCAATCCAATTATGTTAGAATAATTATAATAACATTTGATCTGTATCAATGGACGATGGACTCCCAAGAAACGGTAGAAGAATGCGACCTATTATGGGACATACAATGCATTACAAACGTATGATCATTATGCTTGAACCGGCTTATTCGATTCCTTAGAATCGGGTTATTCTATTCCACCTCTTAGTTAGAAAGAAAAGAACTTAAACAATTAATAACATGGCGATACATAAAACTTCGAGCCCGAGCACACGCAATGGAGCCTTAAACAGTCAAGTGAAATCCAATTCACGAAATCGTTTGATTTCTGGACAACATCATTGTTGTAAAGGGCGTAATGCCAGAGGAATTATTACCGCAGGGCATAGAGGGGGAGGTCATAAGCGTCTATACCGTAAAATTGATTTTCGACGCAATGAAAAAGACATATATGGTAGAATCATAACTATAGAATATGACCCTAATCGAAATGCACACATTTGTCTCATACACTATGGGGATGGTGAGAAAAGATATATTTTACACCCCAGAGGGGCTATAATTGGAGATACCATTGTTTATGGTACAAAAGTTCCTATAAAAATGGGAAATGCCCTACCTTTGAGTGCGGTTTGAACTATTGATTTACGTAATTGGAAGTAACCAATTAGGTTTATGGCGAAACCTAGAAATCGATCTCTTATCCAATTGGAGTACCTCTACAGGATAAACTTCAACAGAAAATTGAAGAGTAACGGCAGCAAGTGATTGAGTTCAGTAGTTGCTAATATACCATTATTGACCCTAGAGATATAGTAATATGGAGAAGACAAAATTGTTTCAAGCACCGACAGAACACGAAGCGATCCTCGTTTCAAACAAATAAGGGGAAGACCCAGATTATTCACATTTCATTTGATGGTCAAGGACAAATTGAAAGCGAAGCAGTGGTAATTCTAAGGATTCCCCCGGGGAAAAATAGAAATGTCTCCTACGTTACCCGTACTAGGTGTAAGTAGCAACGTAATTTCATAGAGTCATTCGGTATGAATGCTACATGAAGAACATAAGCCAGATGAAGGAACGGAACAGAAAGACCTAGGATGTAGAAGATCATAACATGAGTCATTCGGAAGATTTGGATTCGTATAATATATATCCACTCATGTGGTATGGTACTTCGTTATGTCATTTATAATCTACGAAATAAACGATATATAAGATGCAGCTGTGTAGATATTAGAATCTACATCCAGAAAGCCGTATGCTTTGGAAGAAGCTTGTACAGTTTGGGAAGGGGTTTTGATAAGAATCTACTTCAACCGATATGCCGTTAGGCACGACCATACATAACATAGAAATAACACTTGGAAAGGGTGGACAATTAGCTAGAGCAGCGGGTGCTGTAGCGAAACTGATTGCAAAAGAAGGTAAATCAGCAACATTAAAATTACCTTCTGGCGAGGTCCGTTTGATATCCAAAAACTGCTCAGCAACAGTTGGACAAGTAGGGAATGTTGGGGTAAACCAGAAAAGTTTGGGCAGAGCCGGAGCTAAACGTTGGCGAGGCAAGCGTCCTGTAGTAAGAGGGGTCGTTATGAACCCTGTAGACCATCCATATGGGGGCGGTGAAGGGAGGGCCCCAATTGGTAGAAAAAAACCCTCAACTCCTTGGGGTTATCCTGCACTTGGAAGAAGAACTAGAAAAACGAATCAATATAGTGATAATTTGATTCTTCGTCGCCGTAGTAAATAGTTGAGCGTAAGCGTAGATAAAATAGAATTTGTTTCTTCGTCTTTACAAAAGAAAATAGCAATTTACTGGGACATTATAGGATTTTCTTTTTTTAGAGATTCTATATTTTAGAATTGGAAATATAAGAGAACAAAATTAACTTTTTTAGTTATTATAGGAGGAATAATTAACTATGACACGTTCACGAACAAAAAATCCTTTTGTAGCCAATCATTTATTAAGAAAAATAAAGAAGCTTAACACAAAAGGAGAAAAGGAGTTAATAAAAACTTGGTCCAGAACATCTACCATTATATCTACAATGATTGGGCATACCATTGCTATCCATAATGGAAAAGAGCATTTACCTATTTATATAACAGATCGTATGGTAGGCCATAAATTAGGAGAATTTTCACCTACTCGAAAACTTGGGAGGGTATCCAAAAAATGAGAAAAAATATATTTCTCAATTTACCCTTGGACCTATATTTTTTTACCATATATTTAAAAATACAGGTCACAATCATCATTGAAGTGAATTTTCCCATTCATTTTAGGATACTTTTCGCAATCATCATTGATAAAAATGAACATTATGAGGATCCAGATTAATTAATAAATTACTCAATCTGTTGCAGAATAAAAAGAATTGTATTATTCTGCAACAGAAAAAGAAATAAAGATATAGAAAGTTTAATAAAAAAAAATATAATTATGGATAAACAAAAAGATACCGAGTGGTGGTTATGGGCCAAAAAATACATCCGCTTGTTTTCCGACTTGGTGCAACTCAAAGTCATTATTCTATTTGGTTTGCAAAACCAAAAATGTATTCCGAGAATGTAAAAGAAGATAAAATTATACGATATTGTATCAATAATTTTATACAAAAAACGGTACCCGAATCCTGTGAATTCGAGACCGATATCTCTGGCTATGGAATGGGACGAATAAAGATTCAAAAAAGAATCGATCTGATTAAAGTGATAATCTATATGGGACTTCCAGACTCCTTAAAATAAAAGGTTAAGGATCTAAGAGTCGAACAATTAAAGACTCAAGTGCAAAAAAAAGTAACTTGTGGGAACCGAGAACTCGACCTTGAAATTACAAAACTTCCAAGTCCTTATTTTTATAGAGACGCTAAAATTGTTGCAGAATTTTTAAGCGAACTATTACGGAATCGAATTTCGTTTTGTAAAGCAATGCAAAAAGGTATTGAATTAGCTGAACAGGCAGATACAAAAGGAGTTCAAATAAAAATTGCGGGACGTATGGAAGGAAAAGAAATTGCACGTGTCGAATGGACGAGAGAAGGTAGGGTTCCTCTACAAACCATTCGAGCTCCAATGGATTTTTGTTCCGTTCCACTTGTAACTTTGTTTGGGGTATTCGGAGTCAAAATCTGGATATTTCAAAACTTCTAAACAACGACTAATCAACTTTCCCTTATAACGTTCCATCTTTTTTTAAAACAAAAAATGACAATTTGAAATACTTTACGTTGAAGAAATTACAAAATTTGGAAGATTGAATAAAAAAAATTAATGAATCATTTTAGAATGAAGGAGTTGCTATGCTTAGTGTGTGACTCGTTGGTTTTTTTTTAGTGTTTCAATTTCTACAAAAATTCGTAGAATTCATTACTATAAAAAACCTACTCATCGCTTCCCATTATCTGGATAGAAAGAACTGCCGAAAATAGAAAATCAAAATAAGGATCTATGTGGTGATATAATTATAGCAACTGAAATAAAAAAATAAAATTATTAGTTGTAAAGCAATAAGAATATACAGATAAATGAAGGGGTGAAAGAAAGCTAGAAAAAGGATATTAATGATATAGAATTCTACTATGTAAAGGTCTATTGGTCATCTCATAAAAAGTAGTGTAATAAAGCATCAATATTCAAAATTCATCCATATATGGATGAATATTAGAATAAACGAATAAAGAGCCACGAATCAAGAAAACTGAGAGGGTTGATTCAACAAAAAAGAATAAAAAAAAAAACAAAATCTTATTAATCTTATTAAAGCAGCTCCATTGTAGAATTTAGACCTAACCATAAATTGAAAAGCGATGGGAACGACGGAACCTGTGAATACAAAAGATTCCATGAAAATTAGAAATCTTACTGATTCATTAGATGGGATGGCGGAAGAAACTAAAAATTCATGGTTTTTTGAGGAGTTGTGGACGAACCCAACATTACATCTTCAATTTATAATCAGAGAGTCAATATTCGCCCGCGAAAATCCCGCGATTCTATTTCATTTTCTATTTTAGAAAAAAATATGTATATTAGTGTCTATTATTTTAATTATTATTCTTTTTTCGGTTCCAGATTTTTCAATCGATTTATTTGCGAGGAGCCGTATGAGGTGAAAATCTCATGTACAGTTCTGTAATAGAGATGGAATTGAGAAATAACCATCAACTATAACCCAAAAAGAACGAGATTCCGCAAACATCATAGAGGGAAATTAAAAGGAAACGCCTCTCGCGGTAATAAAATTTGCTTCGGAAAATATGCTCTTCAGGCACTTGAGCCCGCTTGGATCACATCTAGACAACTAGAAGCGGGTCGACGGGCAATGTCACGAAATGTTCGCCGGGGTGGACAAATATGGGTCTGCATATTTCCAGACAAACCAGTTACAGTAAGACCTACCGAAACGCGTATGGGTTCGGGAAAAGGATCGCCTGAATATTGGGTAGCTGTTGTTAAACCCGGAAAAATACTTTATGAAATGGGAGGGGTCCCAGAAAATATCGCTAGAAAGGCGATTTCAATAGCGGCATCCAAAATGCCTATACGAACTCAATTCATTTTTTCCAAATAATCATTAGAACGAATGTTAGTATGAAAAAAGGAAATTCTCCGTTTCTTTTTTTTTTTAACACACAATATTTTTTTTATTTCAACTTTTTGACTGAAAGATAAGAAAAAAGGATATGATTCAACCTCAAACCTATTTAAATGTAGCCGATAATAGCGGAGCGCGCGAATTGATGTGTATTAGAATCATAGGAGCTAGTAATCGACGGTATGCTTATATGGGTGACATTATTGTCGCTGTAATCAAAAAAGCAGTGCCAAATTCATCGTTCGAAAGATCTCAAGTCATCAGAGCTGTAATTGTACGTACCTCTAAAGAACTAAAACGTCATAATGGTATAATAATAAAATATGATGATAATGCAGCCGTTCTCATTGATAAACAGGGAAATCCAAAAGGAACTCGAATTTTTTCCGCAATAGCCCGAGAATTGAGACAGTTAAATTTTACTAAAATAATTTCACTCGCACCCGAGGTGCTATAATATGATATAATACGTTATACTTGATATTTGATGGAGTATCCCCATGAATCGGTAGTAGGATATATATATATATATATATATATATATATATATATATATATATATATATATATATATATATATATATATATATATATATATATATATATATATATATATATATATATATATATATATATATATATATATATATATATATATATATATATATATATATATATATATATATATATATATATATATATATATATATATATATATATATATATATATATATATATTATATAAATATAAAGGGGATCCATACATAAATATCCATGAACAGGATCTATGGTCCATATACACACATAGACCTAAGGATACATACATCAAGGGTTATTTTTTTGGAGATTCCATGTACTAATTCATGATTTAACATGTACAGAATAAAAGCCTTTCATTTGCTTATTTTCGAGAAAAATATTAAAATAAAAATGAAATATATACTCTCTTCAACCGGGTTATTCTACCTCTTATAAATAAATAAATAAAAACAACTTCGTTATCTTAGAAAGAAAACCCTATTCTCTTCCACCTAATAGCATAAAAAAACATAATTACAGGAGGCTATCATGAACAAAGATATGATCGGAAATATGTTCACATTGTTACGCAATGCAGACATGAATAGAAAAAGAATTATTCCAATACCGTTCACTAAGATGAACGAAAACATTGTTCAAATTCTTTTACGACAGGATTTTCTTGAAAACGTCAGAAAACATCGAGAAAGCAACAAAAAGTTTTTAGTTTTAACTCTAAAGTATAGAAGAAATAATAAAGGATCATATCCTTTTAAAAGTTGTTTAAATTTTAAACAGATTAGTACGCCCCGTCTACGAATATATTCTAACTATCCCAAAATCCCAAAAGTTTTGGGAGGAATAGGGATTGTAATTCTTTCTACTTCTAGGGGTATAATCACCGATCGACAGGCTCGATTAGAAAAAATAGGAGGTGAGATAATATGCTTAATATGGTAAAATTACTTCTTCCGATTACGAAACACGCAGACGATTTTATGGAAGTCATGAAAAAAGAATTTCAGAGCGACGACTCCAAATTTATAGTTGGAGACCCAGTAGAACCCTCCGCAAAATTCTATTTTATCCGAATGTATTCGCAATATAATCGAAGAGAAACACGATTTTTATTGTATCGCTTTTATTTAGAAGCCCATATGAATATTTTGCTTGGTGCGCTTCTGGATCCCAATTGGGGCCCTTTGGATGTTGTTACTTTGGCTGGTCCTAGTGACGATGACGATCATGGTGGGTACTTCGCTTAATTTTATTGAATCTATCAATTTACCTAAAGCAACCTGCAACGTTGCAGGTTGCTTTAGGTAAATTGAATTTCAAGAGAAAAAAAAACACCCAAGGATATTTCTCTATGATTACCTTACATTTGGTAACCTTCTATATTCCGATTTCGGAACACGCAGACGATTGATTTTCTAGCAGAAATAGACAAAGACCTTAAGTATGAGGGCTTATTTATAAAGGTGAGCTCAGCAGCCACCTCAGATTCATATTTTGTTGTAGGATATATGCAATATGATCGAGAATTTGTACACAGTTTATTGTATCAACATTATTCTCGAAATGTCGGTCGGCAGATTTTGATTTTGGAAGAGATTGATGAAGATTTTGGCCCTATTGATTGATAGGGTTTCTATTCTTGGGGACGTCGATGACGACGACCACCCGACTCTTTTATAACTTGAAAATATTTTTTAGGAGGAACAATTTTAAGTTCAAAATGTAAGGAAACCCCATTTTCTTACAATATATAAATTTGGTATTCAATTGAATTTCTAAGGAGTTAAAAATATGAAAGTAGCGGTCTCTGTTCGTAAAATTTGTGCAAAATGTCGATTGATCCGTAGGCGAGGTCGACTTATAGTAATTTGTTCGAATCCAAAACATAAACAACGACAAGGATAATATTAAATTAATATAAAATATTAAATTAATATAAATTAAGGGCTTTCCATTAATAAGATTTTGAATAGAATTCAAAATCTTATTAATGGAAAGCCCTTTTCTTAAATACTAAATCATACAAATCGAAAAATTTAGATTCTATATTCGAATCTAGTCTATAGTTATAAGTATTCGAATAAATAGAATTGCTTATTGCTTAATATTTGAAAAAAGGGTATTCTATATTAATCGAATTATAGAATACAATAGAATAACTAGTTAGAAAATAGTAAAGAATCCTTTTTGACAGGAAATGGATATATCCATATATTTCGGACTTATCTTTTTTTTTAAATAAAAAAAAATGGCAAAATCTATACCAAAACTTGGTTCACGGAAAACTGGACGTATTGGTTCGCGTAAGCATCCGCGTAAAATACCAAAGGGGGTTATTTATATTCAAGCTAGTTTCAATAATACCATTGTGACTGTTACAGATGTAGGAGGTCGGGTGATTTCTTGGTCCTCCGCCGGTTCATGTGGATTCAAGGGTACACGAAGGGGGACACTATTTGCCGCTACAACCGCAACGGGAAATGCTCTTCGAACAGTAGTCGATCAAGGCATGCAACGAGCAGACGTCAGCATAAAGGGTCCCGGTCGAGGAAGAGATGCGGCATTAAGAGTTATTGTTCGAAATGGGATACTATTAAACGTTATACGGGATGTAACCCCTATACCATATAATGGATGTAGGGCTCCTAAAAAAAGACGTGTGTAAAACTAACAATAAATATGAAAGAAAAAGATTTCAAGAGAAATAAACAATTAAATCAAGAGTTTCATAAAAATAGATTACTATGATTCGAGAAAAACTAAAAGTATCTACTAAGACACTACAGTGGAAGTGTGTTGAATCAAGGGTAGACAGTAAGCGTCTTTATTATGGACGCTTTATTTTGTCTCCACTTCTGAAAGGTCAAGCAGATACAATAGGCATTGCAATGCGAAGAATTTTGCTCGGAGAAATAGACGGAACATGTATCACACGTGCAAAATCTGAGAAAATACCACATGAATATTCTACCGTAGTAGGTATTCAAGAATCAATACATGAAATTTTAATGAATTTGAAAGAAATTGTATTGAGAAGTAATCTGTATGGAACTCGGGAGGCGTCTATTTCTTTCAAAGGTCCTGGATATGTAACTGCTCAAGAAATCATTTTACCACCTTCGGTGGAAGTCATTGATAAGACACAACATATAGCTAACCTAACGGAACCTATTAATTTGTGTATTGAATTACAAATTGAGAGAAAGCGGGGATATCGTATAAAAACACTAAACAACATTCAAGATGGAAGTTATACTATAGATGCTGTATTCATGCCTGTTAGAAATGCAAATTATAGTATTCATTCTTATGTGAATGGAAATGAAAAACAAGACATACTATTTCTCGAAATATGGACAAATGGAAGTTTCACTCCTAAGGAAGCACTTTATGAAGCCTCCCGGAATTTGATTGATTTATTTATTCCTTTTTTACATGCAGAAGAAGAAAACTTCAATTTGGAAAACAATCAACACAAAATGACTTGGCCCCTTTTTACTTTTCATGATCATGATAGATTCGTTAAGGATAAACTAACGAACACTGAAAAAGAAATTACATTGAAATCCATTTTTATTGACCAATTAGAATTGCCTCCCCGGATCTATAATTGTCTTAAAAAGTCCAATATACATACAGTATTTGAATTTTTGAATAAGAGTCAAGAAGACCTTATGAAAATTGAACATTTTCGCGTAGAAGATTTAAAAAATATATTAAACATTTTACAAATCGAAAATCATTTTGTATAAATTGAAAATCCATTGGATTTTTTTGAATCTTTCATTTTTTTTATTTATAAAAAGAAAGCTTCAAATATTAAATTTGAATCTTTAGCACAAATCAATATATTCAGAATATGTATAAAATGAAATAGATGGATCTAGGGATTAGTCATTTCAAAGTGAATTTTCCCTAGATACACAATACACCTGTCATGATATTTTATTTGACAATAGAATCAATTTAAAAAATCCCTAACGTTAGGGATTTTTCAATAGGTAATGTTGCTCCAATACCCAACCAAAGAGCCACGACGGTACCAATCAAAAAGACGGTTGTTGCTACTGGACGCCGAAATGGGTTTTGGAACTTATTAACATTTTCCAAAAAAGGTACTGTTAATAATCCCGCGGATACTGAAACCATTAAAAGAACGCCCAATAATTTATTGGGTACGGTACGAAGTATTTGAAATACGAGAAAAAAATACCATTCGGACAATATTTCCAAAGGAGTTGCAAACGGATCTATCATTTAAAAAATGAAAATAGAAGGAAATGACATACATTGTAGGAGGAAATTATGCATTTATCATATTTTTATTGAAAAATAATAAAAATCATACATAAAAAATTGTATCTAAGTTTTCTCTTTTCACAAATACTTTATCATCAGACATCAATCGCATTATTTTTTATATTGGCATCAAGAAAAAT